ATTTACAACTCTGTTTTTACACATTTACATTTAATCTTTCATATTTAAAGACGAGTAATTTAGTTAATCCTGGTTGTATATATTCACATTTTTAGTTTTGATATTTTAAGTGCTTATTTAATTTGTATTTAATATTATATTGTGTTTTTTTTACTCATATTGTGTGTTTGGACAACCTGCTGCTGTAACGCCACAATTTCCCAGTTTGGGATCAATAAAGTCATTCTATTCTATTCTATTCTATTCTATTCTATTCTATTCTATTCTATTCTATTCTATTCTGTTCTATTCTATTCTATTGTATTCTATTTAAATGTTCAGGTTATTAATTTAACACCAAACAGATCAGATCGGTGTAGAGCTGTCTCACACACACACACACACACACACACACACACACACACACACACACACACACACACACACACACACACACACACACACACCACCACACACACACACACACACACACACACACACACCCACACACACACACACACACACACACACACACACACACACACACACACACACACACACACACACACACACACACACACACACACACACACACACACACCTCTCACCCAGGTGTCCTTTCTCCATCAGAGGCTCCACGTTATAAATCCTGACCCCGGTCTCCATAGCGCAGCAGAAACAGCCTGACAACAACAACAACAACATGGAGGCCATTAAAACAACAACAACAACATGGAGGACATTAAAACAACAACATGGAGGACATTAAAACAACAACAACAACATGGAGGACATTAAAACAACAACAACAACATGGAGGACATTAAAACAACAACAACAACATGGAGGACATTAAAACAACAACATGGAGGACATTAAAACAACAACAACAACATGGAGGACATTAAAACAACAACAACAACATGGACAGGGTGTGTGTGTTAGCATGTTAGCATGTTAGCTCACTCTGGTCCTGGTTGAACTGCAGACTGTTGACTCCTCTCTGCTGAGCCATGACTCAGAAACTCAGCTGCAGCTGGACACACCGGACGACCTGTCCCACCGGACGACCTGTCCCACCGGACGACCTGTCCCACCGGACGACCTGTCCCACCGGACGACCTGTCCCGGAGAGGAAGAGGAGCTGACCCACCGGACGACCTGTCCCGGAGAGGAAGAGGAGCTGACCCACCGGACGACCTGTCCCGGAGAGGAAGAGGAAGAGGAGCTGACCCACCGGACGACCTGTCCCGGAGAGGAAGAGGAGCTGACCCACCGGACGACCTGTCCCGGAGAGGAAGAGGAGCTGACCCACCGGACGCACCTGTCCCGGAGAGGAAGAGGAAGAGGAGCTGACCCACCGGACGACCTGTCCCACCGGACGACCTGTCCCACCGGACGACCTGTCCCGGAGAGGAAGAGGAGCTGACCCACCGACGACCTGTCCCGAGAGAGAGGAGCTGACCCACCGGACGACCTGTCCCGGAGAGGAAGAGGAAGAGGAGCTGACCCACCGGACGACCTGTCCCGGAGAGGAAGAGGAGCTGACCCACCGGACGACCTGTCCCGGAGAGGAAGAGGAGCTGACCCACCGGACGACCTGTCCCGGAGAGGAAGAGGAAGAGGAGCTGACCCACCGGACGACCTGTCCCACCGACGACCTGTCCCACCGGACGACTGTCCCGGAGAGGAAGAGGAGCTGACCCACCGGACGACCTGTCCCGGAGAGGAAGAGGAGCTGACCCACCGGACGACCTGTCCCGGAGAGGAAGAGGAAGAGGAGCTGACCCACCGGACGACCTGTCCCACCGGACGACCTGTCCCACCGGACGACCTGTCCCGGAGAGGAAGAGGAGCTGACCCACCGGACGACCTGTCCCGGAGAGGAAGAGGAGCTGACCCACCGGACGACCTGTCCCGGAGAGGAAGAGGAAGAGGAGCTGACCCACCGGACGACCTGTCCCGGAGAGGAAGAGGAGCTGACCCACCGGACGACCTGTCCCGGAGAGGAAGAGGAGCTGACCCACCGGACGACCTGTCCCGGAGCAGGAAGAGGAAGAGGAGCTGACCCACCGGACGACCTGTCCCGGAGAGGAAGAGGAGCTGACCCACCGGACGACCTGTCCCGGAGAGGAAGAGGAGCTGACCCACCGGACGACCTGTCCCGGAGAGGAAGAGGAGCTGACCCACCGGACGACCTGTCCCGGAGAGGAAGAGGAGCTGACCCACAGGACGACCTGTCCCGGAGAGGAAGAGGAACGTGATTTTTCTCGGGACGTCTTCAGGTGACAGTTGAGCAATGTTAGCTTGAGTTAGCTAGCACACATTAGCATGAGATAAAAACGGTTAAAACTCGATTTGATTTTTTCTGTTTTAACGTCAAAATGTTTAAATGTGAAGTTTCACCATCAACACGGAGACAGAAGACGATGTCGAGGCTTTTTTAAACGTTAAAAACGAGACAAACGGCGTGAAACAACAACAACAGAGCGGAGCAAGACGAAGATTTGTTTTTGTTTTCAACTGATGACGTCATTGACGTGAGCTTCCGTTTTTTTTCCGCTTCCGGTTCTTGGAAAAACTTTTTTTCTTCTACGAATAATATCGACGAAACTAAAGTATAAATGAATATATCAATAAATATATAAATGCTGAAAACAATACATCAGTGAATAAATAATAAATACACGTTGTTAATGAAAAAGACTATTTATATATTTTTACATTATTTATTCATTTATTAGTGTATTTCTACAGTTATATATGTATCAATGAATACATTTCCACATTAACTGAGTTATTAATTTATTTCCGTATTTTTACATTTACACATCTATTTATTTCTGTGTCCAGGTCGTAAGAGGAAAAGTATTTATGTAAATTTGCTTCTGTCTGTTTTTCAAAATTGACCAATCCTACTTCAGTAATGTTAGGACGGCCCACTTAATTTACATATTTACTTTTCCTTGTACAACATAGACACATAAATATATATTTATTTATATATTTATTGATGCATTTATTTAATTATTTATTTATTTATACATTATTGTATGCATTTCTCCCAACATTTATTTATACTTTAGTCATTTTTTGTCCCTCATAAAAACAAACGTAAATACAAAACATTTAAATATATATATTTTTTTACTTATAATAATAAATTCACACATTTAAGAAAATACAGTTTTGCGTTGTTTGTATAGTTTGTGTTAATACAACCTACTCCATTTGAGAAGCCGGTTACCTTGACAACCTGCCAAAGTTAAAAAAAAACAACGGGAAAAAACGCGACAGTGCATGTTTGAGTTCAGTGTGGTTCAGTGGCTCTGGGGAGGTTTGTCTGTGTTCCCTCTTTAACTACACGCTGTCGACTGTGAAATAAAGCAGAGACATGACCGGAGTCATTGTCTGATCTGTGGTCAGTTCATGGAGAGGTGACAGAGTTAAATAAAGTTCTTTGTTAAGAGAGCTGAAAGAGAGTGGCACAAAGAAGCACATTTCTTTAATCAGTTCTGTTTTCACCTGAACACAGATTTATAATCAGCTGAATAGTGAATTAAAGGTGGGATCCAAATGTCCTCCTGTGTTTCCATTGGCTGTCGTGATCATCAGTGTGAGCTCTGTTTCTTTGTTCTCCTTCCTTTCATTCAAACCTTTAAGAACTCGAGTTTTATTTCTGTCTTTGAGTCTCAAGGTGTGTCAGCAAGAAAAACTGTTTACATGTTTGTATGAGAGTCTTCACAGACGTGCATCCATACATCCAGTTTGCACACGTTCAGCCGCAGGAGTCAGTAAACACAAACACTAATCGTCATAGCAACAGAGACAGACATAGCCATGACTGCCGCAAATAAACAACAAAATCTGAAACAATAAAAAGATGAGAACAACATGACACATACTGCCCTGACAAACATTATTCAGAACTTTGGTCACCATGGAAACAGAAGAGGACTCTGTATCACCTGCAGGACGTTCAGCCTCCGACAGACGGTGCGACAGCCACACTGATCTCATGACGATGGTACGACATGCGTGTGCACTGATTTACCTGTCAATCGTAGACTGAGGGTGCGTTTGAATTGTCCCTCCTGTCTCCTCTCACGATCCACTTCACCTTTAACCCCGGAAGCATTTCAGTGGCGGCCATGATAAGAGCCGTTTGAATTCTCTAAAAGTTAAGGAAAGGTGGGTCAATGCTTCCTTTATAACCTTCTTTAGGATACACTGGACCATCCTTTAGTAAAGGAGATGAGATATGACGCCCCACAACATTTAAAGCGAGTCGCTCATCCGACCGTTCAGGAACATGAACGATGATCGTAAAGAGATAAAAGAGACATTTTTATCAGAGGATGTTTGATTCAACAGATTTCATTCTCTTGTTTTGTGCTGCTGTACATTTGTATGTTTAAAACATTATGTGTAGGTTATATCTTACATTAATGTAACAATTCATTTCATCCAATCATATTGATGTTGATGTTGATTTCTGATTGGACAGGAAGCTGATGGTTTCACTTTTCTTACTTGTAGCCTGGTAGTCTATATTTCTTTTATTTCAATCCCAACCTCGTGGTGATCAGGATTATTTCACCGGTAAGAAGCACAGAAAGAGTTTTTTAGATGATCTTTTTGTAGTCCATTATCTGAACATTGTAGTTTCAACACGTCAGACCCACGTCATTAACCTCCGCCGGCCCGTCACATTTAATGACGTGGCCTAGTGGAAATGTGGTCGGATTGTCAGAGCAACGAGATCGCCTTTCCTTAAGTCCTTTATGAATTCTCCTAACATCTTTCCTTGACCTCATGACGTTTTCCCCGGGTTAAGGTGAAGTGGATAGTGAAGGAGATAGGAGGGACAATTCAAACACACCCTGCGAGTCGAGGCAAGACGCAGCGTCATCAGAGTGCATCGACCTGATCTAACTGAGGTTGCCATGGCGCCCCCCCCCCCCCCCCCCCCCCCCCCCCCCATCCTGCTGTGAGGTGCATGTGTGAACAACAAACTTGGTAACATCCAGGTCAGCCAGCCTGAGATCTTCCACAGATTGTCAGAATCAGAATCAGGATCAGGATCAGGATCAGGATCAGAATCTGGGTTTATAAGTACATTTACACATAAAGGAATTTGACTTGGTGTATTGGTGCTAAACAATTAACAAGGAAATAAAGCAGAACTAGAAACAACTTAAATAATACAGAATAAGAAGATATTACAAAATATAAAATAGAATTTAAAAATGTTAAATATAAAAAAAAAAAAAAAAAAAACACAAATTGTACAAAAGGTGTAATGTAGGACATTGTGGGAGTGCATGTGTGAAAACAGCTTCAGAACATTTGAACAGGCTTTTCATTGTGCAGCAGTAAATATTCTTCTCGTATAAAATGTCCATAAATGCCCTCAGGTTAAACAAGTCTATGATAAACATCAGGACATTCTGTGTGGCCCACGCTCAACCTTTCCTCTGCTTTATTATAAGCTCAGTGAAGCCTTTTGATGAACTCTCTGACTGAAGTCCAGACCGTAAAAACTATATTTAACCAAAAGAACAGATTGAATCAGTCAAACAAAGACTCTCCACTGCAGGAGAAAAACCTGCAGACCCTGACATATCTGCATCGTCTGTGAGAGAAACTAACTGATCGCCATGTTGTTGAGCATTAGCTGACTACCAAGCTCTACTAAACAAATATAAAGTAGTGAAAAAAACAGCTTACAAGAATTATTTAAAGGACCAATCAGTGAGCTGTGTAGAGAGTGAGATGATAAAGGTATCTTACTCTCTGATCATTAAGGAAACATGCTATGTTGAAGTGTTGGCTTCTCTGACAACAATGCAGCAGCCAGTATGTCCTCCTTCTAACTTTAGATTCTGCTCCTGAATGCTCTGGATTTGTTTGGACCAGAGAAGGTAGGCGCTTTTAAGACACGCCCCCCACACGGCCGTTTTGGACGCCCCTCGGTTTGTCAGATATGAGAGCAGTTATCAGGTCAACAGGTGTTGCAGTGATGGAAGCGGTCAAGAGAAGTGGTTCAGATAGAAGTGATTGTACCCGACCTAAAAAGCCTCTGCATGTTTCTAATAAGCTCCACGAGCAGAAACGTGCTCAAACTAGGATCAATATTGGAGATGCTTTTGAAAAATGGAGAGAGGTTAGAACACAGAAAGGTTTACAGACCCATGCAGAGCTGGATAAACACTGAAGCTTCAGAGTCCACCACATGGTGACCTGAGTGAGGGGGGGGGGAGACAGCTCTCTATGATGTTTAGAATTTAGACTGCAGTACCCATTTTAAACACCAGGGGTCAGAGTTACATACTGCTCCTTTAAAACGTCATCATTTTGCATCGTGTGAAGGCCTCATACAGTTTGTATTTATTCAGGGTGTAAGCTGTAACAAGGCCTGTTGACAGGTGGAGCCACATCGCTGTGAGAGAAACGTTCAGTACATATATGTCCTGACACAATGACGGGTTACTACATTAAACACAGGTTCATCTTGAAAGTAGGGTGTGGTTTCTATTAAAACATTAAATATACGTCTATAGGTAAACAGTAATTATCCAACACGACATACTTTAAACACAGCAGCTCTAAAGGAAATATCAAAGTCATTATCACCCCTCCATCGGTAAACACTCGTACTAAAACACAAGGTGCTGCGGCGTGTTCCTAAACGGCAGCTGTCACGCTAAGACGAGACGTTCACCTGAGGTCAAGGTTTCCAAGTGATCGAGAAGGAAACATGCATGTAATCATCTCTCGAAGGGCATTTACCTTCTGTTTGTTGAGTAAGTCACCTGTACCTACAGCAGGAGCAGCCTGTTCGTCTGTTCGTCTTTTCCTTAGGATTTATTTTACACATTTAAAATACATTTCAAATCATATTTGTTAGACTAGCAGTTCAACGCTGCTCGCTGCCTTCAATGCGACATGTTGCACAGCCTGACTTCATATTTTCTCTCGTCTTAAATAGTGCAAAAGGGAGTTTTTTTTAAACATGAATGTTCTAGAAAATTAACTTTGTAATGAACTGCTGACAGGAACAAAAAACAACGCGAGGGAGGGAAAAAATCCAACGCTGTCCGTGAAACAAAAATCATAATTAACAAAGAAAATAACAACAACAGGAAGTGGAATAAACAGAAACCTTGATATCCTGATTGCCACAGACAACAAAATAAATCTTCTGCAGTGCGGAGAAAGGGGTTTGGTGCCTTGAAGTGAAATGTTAACCTGTGTGTGCAGTTAAAAAACCACCTGATCTGATTGATTCAGACTGCATGGATAATGATGGGAGA